CTCTCTCTCTCCCTCCCCCCCCCTTCCGCCCTCTCTTTGCAGCCATAAAGTGATCGGAAATTTTTTGCGGCGACCAAATTCTCAGGTGCTATTCAAGAGTAAATTTAATAATCTATCTCCGAGCTATTGCTCATCATTAAGGCAGATTGCTTCGATTAAAACTTCGATTTAAAAACTGGAATAAAAAGGATTGAATTGTTTAGCTCAGATTCACAAACGAACAAAAAAATGGTATATACCAATATAAACGATTCTACAATTAAAGGACCTTATCCAGAAATTAAGTACGTATAATATTTATAGTTATTAGTAGAGAGCGATAAAATTGTAAATTTTATCGTGAATCGGTTATCAAATGCAATATTTGCTAATAAAATGTTATAAAGTATATTATTATATAAAGTATATTAAACGAGAGATTGGAAATATAAAGAATAGTTATGTTTTATTGTAGGAAAGACAAGGAGAAATATATATTGCCGAGACAACAACAACAGCAGCAACAGCAACAACATAATCAGCAACAATCATCAAGAAGAAATGATAAATACGGATCTTGGGGAGCGATCTTTAAAAATAAGGAGAACTTTGTCGACATGCATATATGCTAATCTATCTTTCAACAGGATATATTCTCGCTATACGATATCACATGTAATAAATTCATGAGCGCTACAGAGTCAAGCGAGATGCAAGATGTTTTTCGAGCGAGAACATTTAGAACATAGATTATTTCACGTGAATTATACCTCTTACTTATGATTCAGTCATCAATCGAGTCTCAAGTAATATTGATTACAATTGTTCAATCAGTAGCGTAACTTGCTAATGCCTCTTGTAGCTTGCTAATCTGTAAGCTTGTAAGACACTCTAATCCGAATTTATATTTTTATCGCAATTAATTCAATTGCGATAAAAAAATAAGGATCTATATATCACGACACATATGAAAGATCTTCGCCATAGGCGTATAAACCGTTTATCGATTTGCGATATTTATAATTGAATCTTGAAGTTATATATTGAAATTTTATTGGCTTCCGTTATGTGCGTTATATATATTGAAAAATGTGAGAATGGTTAAAAAAAAAAGAAAATGATTTTCCAATTGTATAGTCGTTCTTTGATAATTTGTCAAGTTACGCTACTGCAGCAAACTGTTTTCTCGATAGCAATATAAAAAAAACGTGGCATTATCTCGTGTAAATAACTGAATCGCAAATTTGTAATTCTTTAATGATCGCTTCGATTCTTCCGTAGACAACAGTATTTCAAAGACGTGATTAAGGCAGCGAAAATATTTAATCTGCAATAACGATGATAATAGTTCGGAGAAATCTTTCTCGGAACACACACGCTTCTTAAGGTGCAATTCTGTCTTGCTTCTAATTTTATGGTCGCACGCGGTATTGAGTATATATGGGGACATATACATATTATATGAGTTTTAGGTGCTTGGAGCTATGAAATAAAGATTGCATTGAAACAATCAAATATTAAGCATAAATGTCATGTTGCTGAAAAAAGTGACGTGGTCATTATCTTGATTATTTATTTAAACTGTCGTCAATCTTTATGACTATTAGCAAATATATCTCACAAATTCATAGAGCAAAAAAATAATGATATCTGCTGATTATTATAAGAGAGACAAAGAGATAAAATGAAAATAATAAAATGTCTGTCGAAAGATTATCTAACGAGATCCTTTTTTCGACTTGAAAAGACTTAAAAGACTTAAAAAGACTTAAAAAGTTTTGAATTAGAAGAAATAAAGAGAAGAATAAAAAAAGACAACAATACACCCATAGTTCCTCCGGTTATATAAAAGAAGAAAAGGAAACGCACGCATCGCGACTGGAGAGAGCGATGTTATAATCATGGAAACATTTTCTCCCAAAGAGACAAGGATGAATCCATTAATGACCGAAATATATTTGTTTTCTGAAAAAGTGTAGAAATTATTGA